ATTACACGTCCTACCATTACACGTCCTACCATTACACGTCCTATCATTACACGTCCTACCATTACACGTCCTACCATTACACGTCCTACCCCCAATTCACACAAGTTACATTTTTCTCCAACAGGAGGCGCTGATGCGACGGCGGATGCTCGCGATGAATGCTTTGGCTGCGGAGCCGCCCTCTAGCGGTCCGTCGTCGGTGCAGTCGGTGCAGCAGACGCCGCCGCACACGCCTGCACCCGCGTATCCTCTCGCAGGCTCCGGGGGGAAGCCCCAGCCGGGCCCTCCCCCGGGAGCCATCCAGGCTGCTCAGCAGGTGAGCAGAAACAATGTAGGTCTTCTTTTATTATTTTATTTTCTCCATTTGTTCTTTTGCCGTAGTAGTTGTCGTGAACGTTGTTGTTGTTGTCGTCGTGCCGTCTGCGCGCGCGATTCGATTTTGGTTGCTAGTGCTAGGTCGCTGTGTTATCGTTGCGTTGGTTGGACAACCGATTTTTCAGTTTCCGTTTGAGTTATTTAGCGATGATGGTGCACTTTTTGCATGGGCTTCAACATTAATTTTTTTGACCGCAATAGCTAGTTTTTATCCTAGTTCTCCTCAACTCTCATACGCCCCCGCTCTTTTTTTCTGTATATTTCCCCTTCTTGCCACCGTTCTTGGGTATTGTGTATCTGCCCCCCTCTCACCACCCCTTCCCTGTTTTCAATAGCTGTTCCCTCTCTGCCACCCCTCCCCTGTTATCTGTGGCAGTCCTCTCCTGCTCTCTCTTACCTGAATTCTGGAGCACTCCTTGCTCCATTTTGTTTCATTCCAGCACTGGCACAATTCTTCTGTATCTACCTCTGTCATGTTCATATTTTCTCCTGACTCACATTCATTCCTTCCTGTACATCTGTCACATTCATTCCCTCCTGTCCATCTCCATCAGATTCATTCCCTCCTGTCCATCTCTGTCACATTCATTCCTTCTTGTCTGCCTGTCACATTTATTCCCTCCTGTCCATCTCTGTCACATTCATTCCCTCTTGTCTGCCTGTCACATCCATTCCCTCCTGTCCATCTCTGTCACATTCATTCCCTCCTGTCAACCTTTGTCTCATTTATTCCCTCCTGTCCATCCCTGTCACATTCACCTTCCTATCTACGTCCATCACGTTTGCCTTCTTGGTTTCTGCGTTTAGTGGCACGCGGGCGGCATTGTCGTTCTCGTTACAGATCCAGGCGGTGGCCGCGCGGCAGCAGGGCCCGCACGCGTCCAGCTACAGCATGGGCAAGCCGCTCAACGGCGGCGGCGGCATGCCCGGCTACCAGATGGCGCCTCAGATGCAGGCGCCGATGGGGCAGCCGCTGCACCAGGGCGGCGCGCAGCAGCTTCCATCGATGCAGGGCTGGAGCAACGCGCCTAGCTACCCGCAGCAGCAGCAGGCGCCTCCGCCGCAGCAGCAGATGATGTCTGTCATGCAGCAGCAGCAGCAGCAGCAGGAGATGTCCGGAGGAGGAGGAGGAGGAGGAGGAGGAGGGAAGCCAATGATGGGGGCGGCGATGGCGATGGGCGGGCTGCAGCCGGGCGGCGGCGGCGGCCCGCGTCCGAACAACCCGGTGCCGCAGCACGCGCTGCAGCAGCTGATGAGCACGCTGCGGTCGCCCGCGTCGCCACAGCAACAGCAGGAGGTGCTCAACATCCTCAAGTCCTACCCGCAGCTGATGGCCGCTTTCATCAAGCAGCGGACGCAGCAGCAGCAGCAGCAGCAACAGCAGCAGCAGCTTCAGCAGCAGATGGGCGGGGGGATGCCGGCGCCGGGGGCACCGATGCAGCCCGGCATGCAGATGCAGGCGATGCCTCAGATGCAGGGCGGACCGCAGATGCAGGCCATGCCCCAGATGCAAGGCGGCCCCCAAATGCAAGGCATGCCACAGGGCCATCCCCAGATGCAGGGTCACCAGTTGCAAGGTGGCGCGCAGATGCAGGGAGGCGGTACGCCGATGCTGGTGGGGATGATGAGTGCGCAGGGAGGCGGAGGAGGAGGCCAGCAGGGCATGTCGCAGCAGCAGCTGTACGCGTACCGGCAGCAGCTGATCATGCAGCGGCAGCGGCAGCCGCAGGACTACCAGTTCCAGCAGCCGCAGGCGCCGCCCTACTCGCAGGGTGGGCGCGTGCGCGGCCCGCATCCCGGCCTCGGCTTCCCGCAGCAGGCGTACGCGCCCGGCGACGGCATGCAGACGAACATGCAGCAGTTCACGCAGCAGCAGCTGATGCAGATGCAGCAGCAGCGGCCGCTGTCGCCGCAGCAGCAGCAGCAGATGATGGCCGCGGGCGGGGTGGTGGCCGGCGGGGGCGGGCACCCCGTCCGCTCACCGCAGCACATGCTGCAGCAGGTGTGTTCGCCCCCGCCCTGCTCCGCCGCCGCCCTCGCCCACCAGGTGCGATCGCCGCAGCCGATCCCGTCGCCGCGGCAACACCCGATCGCGTCGCCGTCGCCGCGGCTGCAGCACTCGCCGCATCACGCCGTCGCGGCGTCGCACTCGCCGCATCCGGTGGGGATGCTGACGCCCGACCCGGGCGCTCTCACGTCGGAGCCGATGTTTCCGACGCAGATGCACCACGCGGCGCACGGGATGGCCGGCGCGGTGGCCGCCGTGCACCGCGACCAGCCGCCGTCTGACAGCGACGGCATCGCCTCGCTGACGCCGCAGGACCAACTCAGTCGATTCGTCGACAACTTGTAGCGGCACGAGGCGTGCGAGACGGTGGCGCGCCCTGCCGAGAGAGAGATAGAGAGCGCGAGTGGGAGCTGCGAAGCGGTGACCCGAAAGCAAACTACTACATACATATTTTATTTTGTATCGTCCGTAGCTGGTGCCGCCCCCGCCGAAATATGAACTGGAGGTTTTCTAGATTTGTACGCGGCAGCGCGCACCGAGTGTTGTTGTTTGTGTGACGAGTAGTTGCCTAGACGGATCCTGTCCTATTATTGTTGTTATCTATATCTCAGACGTGATAGAATGCTATCCAGATACTGATGCATTGCGAGTCGTTATATATATACATTCTGTGTCCTGCTTCAGTACGGCATGTTTTAGTCAGTAGAGTTGTGAATAGGTGTAAAAAGTTTTTATTGAACTACCAATCAAATACTTGTTGGTGGCATTTTCGTCTTTCTTGAGCGCAATCATGCAATGGCGGCATCTGTTGAGCAGAAATTGAATTATTTCACCACAGCAGTGCAAAGGCAACGACCCTGCTGGAAGTAGCAGGGCGCGTGTGCATTCGTTCCAGTTTTAAATTTGGTTCTAATGTATTTATGTACATGTATGATAATAATTTTTCTATTTGGCCATTAAAGTTTTTACATCACTAATGGAAACGTGCATTGATTGTTTCTGTTGTTTTTATCTTGCTCGAAACTTCTTAACGGCACGTGTGAGAGAGAGAGTGAGAGCACCCGAGAGCAAGAGAGAGAGAGAGAGAGAGAGAGAGAGAGAGAGAGAGAGAGAGAGATATATATATATATATATAGATATATTGCACGTACGCACACGCTCACGCACGCGTATACGCACGCATAGACATTTCATAGGGTACCTACTTGGTTTCAAACTGCCCCTTTGGTAAAACTATCCAACTATAGTTAAACGTTACTAGTTGTTTTAATAGCAGAAAGGATAGAGAATGGTCACGCTTGAACAACATTTGCGCGATGATCATAGGCCATGCGAATCATTAGCTGATGCAAAGTACATGAACTCATATATTATAATTATAATATCAGAAGTAGATAATAGTTCCCTATTATCTACTTCTGATAATGTACATATATTATAATTAATAATTATCTATCTATATAAAGTTCTTCAGCCGAATTAGTCCGTACTCGCATAACAAGAGAACTCCGCAGCCTAGAGGAAAACTAAAGATATTTTCAGAATCAGCACGTCTGGGAGGTGGTTCTGGCTGAAACAAAAATTTAAAAAGTTAAAAATTGATAATAATCCTATTCATCAATAGATGGCGTTGCGTACAGATTAACATCATGTACGTGTGAATCCATGGTGTATACCCTTAACGGCACAGTGGCCTAATCGCTAGAACATCCGTCTCCTACACCGGGATTCTGGGTTTGAGTCCAAGCTGGGGAACTTATTTTCCCCTTTTTCCTTTTTTTCCTCTTTACCTACTCTTTACTTTATTTATTATTATTATTATTATGTATGCATTATTTGTAATTTTTATTTTTATTTTTTTATTTTTAATGTCTTATCTTTTGATTTCTTATTATTTTTTTACAGTTTGGGATGGGATGGGATGGCATGCGATGGCATGGGATGGGATGCGGTGCGATGGCATGGGATGGCATGGGATGCGATCAGATGGGATGGGATGGGATGGCATGGAATGGGATGGATGGATGCATGCATGGATAGATAGATAGTTAGATTTTTTTGGGTATTTTCCGGTCACCAACTGAGTAACGCCACTGATTTCCCCGGGCAACGCCGGGTATCCCGCTAGTATATATATAATAGAATTCCATATATATCTACTCCTGAGATATATATATATGTAATAATATATATATATATATGTAATAATATATATATATATATAATAAGGATTAGGATATAATAAGGATGCTTATTATAGGTTATCAGTCATGTACATTCTGTGGTATCTCATAGCGGCCAATGATAGCAAACTCCACGACAGATGGCGCTCTCGCTCTTGCGCTGCTCTGCAGAAGGCAGAAAGGTTCGATATGATATGACTACTAGTACTAGGCACTTTAATTTAATTTAATTTTTTTTAGGGTTAGGGTTAGGGTTGTTTTTTTTAAGTGCCTAGTAGTCATATCCAAAGTGCCTAGTAAACATATCCTATCGCACCTTTCAGCCGGCTGCC